AAGTTATGAGACCTGTAGACTTTTGTCAAGTATAAATGAAGTTCCTGCTATTGCACAGGTTCACAGGAACTGACAGGCCTACGATGAGAACCTCGATGGGAACCAGCAAAATGCCTCACCCCAAGCTGAACCACCGAAATCTGCTAAAATTAATACCGATCATCACTGAAGGCTTCATCTTTACTTTTAGACTGCTCCTTCTCGGACGCACTATCGCTCGTCGTGTCATCCAACATGCACTGTTTAACAACTTGAAGGAAAATACCAGCATAGCCGTGCATCTGAATCACGTTCTGTATCAATGGGGACAGAAATTGGTCAGTCAGCTCAGACTACGATAAGACATTCATATTTTGTATCGGCGCCAACAGGCACTAAATAGGTGCCATAACATTTGGGTGCCAAAGTGGCAGCATTTGATACCGCCGCGATCAGTCGAGAAGGCATCAGGAGGGGCGAAATGATCCCGCCTCGCGGCTGTCTTTTTCACCAATACTGATCGGTCAGCGACCGACTGGGGAAGAAAACAACCAATGGCAGAAAATGCCATGGGTGGGCTCCATGCCTATCAGATAATCACGTAAAGTGTCTGTGCTGGTTTATTTGGACAACGGTAGCGATCGCTATAGTTTCGGCAGAAAAAAAGCTTGAAATTTCCAAATCCACGGATTGTTTAGTGCCAACAAAATGGTGGTACTTACTCTGGCAACTGCTTCTTGTAAATACAACGAATGTGTGGTGATCGGTTCGAGAATTCGAAGAACCCTCGACAAAATAACAATGGAGTCAATAGACTGAAACGGAAATGATTAGTAGCAGAACAAAACATTATAGTTCGAAGAACAGTTGTGAAGAAAACATAAGTTTTCATCGCCAGATGGGTAGAGAAACTTGATATAAGCAGTGAGCTTTGACTCTGCCAGAACTGAATAAACGGTCAAGAGAACTGATAATTGATCTCCTTAAGGCGTGCAATGCACCAGGACTTCAACATGGAGGCATGCAAGTTGAACCTGCGCAATAGTTCTAAGATACCTCTCAAATACAAATTGTACACTCACCCCCTGAGAGCGGTCTTTGCTCCTGTGAGAGAACGAGGGCTGACAGCTGTACGAGTATGACATTTTCAGAATTAAGCCTAAATGTATTGAGGAGCTGTTGCCAACGGAGGGGGGGGGGCATCTTGTACTATCATTGCTTCCCTAGTTCCGGTTTATCCCAAAACGTGTCAACTCGAGAAGTCAACTCGATAAAAGGCTACCTAGGTGGGTCGACACATCTACGGCAAGCAAAATGCCCCTGTCGACAAACTGCGCCCTGTGTTGATACCCAGATGCCGCCGTTTCGAACTTTGTCCGCCCTATGCTCAAAAGGCAGCACTTGCTCCTTTGCCAGGATCCCTCAGCGAAGACACAATCAAAGCTAGAGAACAACCACCCGAGAGAGGGCGCAGACAATGAGCGCGTTTGGCTACTATCAGGCGTGTGACTGGCCGTGCATCAGTGTGGAGCCTTGAACACGTCCGAGTACATCACTACTCTCCGTCCCGTTCTAGTGCAGTTTCTGGGAAAGTGACATGCAACCGCAGCCGCGGACCCCTTCACATCGCATATGGCAAGAACCGTAAATAACAGAGATAGGTCCACAGAGTGTACAGTTTTTCTTCTAACAGTCAAGCACCTTAGTAGGCCTCTTGAAAAGTCACCTGTTCCACAATCTCTGCATCAGCTGGTGAATCAGGGTTCCCAATAACTTCCTGCAGACGCCAGAGTACAAATTCACATCCATGAACGCATGCCTCTGCCACTTCAGGAGAGGCGTTCGGAACATTTCGGAGAGCATCCCTTAAAGTAGTAATGTTCTGCGATGGTATGCTGTACAGCTAGGCCGCACTACAGTCATGTTAGTGCAGCGAATAAGAACCAAAGTTTTTTTTTTCAAAGCCTCAAAGTTGTTGGCACAATAGGAAGGTCTTCTGTAATCTGAAGCATTACCGTAGGCAAAAAAACTGGTTGCAAGCCTGAGACATAAATAGCGAAAAGGCGCGTCTCCAAGCAGGTAGTTGAACCCCTGCAGCCGCCGTCACACTCTCAGCTACGTACTTAGGAAACCCCCTTTTTTGCTTTCAGATATGACCTGTGAGTCGACATGCGCGCGTTATCTTTGCTGCGCTTCCGTACTGGTGCCAGTCATGAGACGCCACTTGAAACGTCCTCTCGCAACTCCGCCAAAACACGGATCTCCTGACCGAAACTCAGAAAAAATAGTTCCAAACTGACCTTATGATAGTAAGAGCTCCCATAGTATTCCCAGAATCAATTGCCAATTTGATAGCTAATCTGCTGGCTTCATCTCTTGACATTCCGAGAGTTCTTGAAAAGGCGAACACCTGCAGAACTCATCATCATTCTCGTTCTCATCTGATAGCTACAATCAACAAACAAACGTCTAGCAGTGAACGTTCTTCACGTTCAATAAAGTTCTTCAGAGTTGCTTCTCGCCATTCCTTCATGTCAAGTTGCGGGGTGGTGACGTACATATTGTAGCGGTCCTAAAGAGCAAAGGGGCTCAACACTCAATAGAAAAGCATGTGAAGAGAAACAAATTACCTGCAGAATCTCGATCGAGCTCAGCTGCTGGTAGAGTTCCATGTAATGAGGGTCCTTGTTCAAGAAGCGCAAAATCACACTACTAGCAGATGCTACGAGTCGTTTGCGTTGAGCAATAGACACCTATTGAATCAGCTTTTAAAATGCAAAACAAATGCAAAAGTTCAGTAATTGGCAGTAAAGAAAGGGCACACGTAGAGCCGCGAAGCGGATCAGGAATATTGTGCAAAAAAATATAACTCTCTATCCTCTACGACCCCTACTCTGAAAAAATCTCGACTTGGCCGGACCTCAGGCGTGATCTGACCTCATGAATACAAGTATCACATTTAGCTTTCAAGGGTGTTGCTTTGGCATGGCGATAACCTACTGCTCACCAACTGAGGTTGCCTGCCAGCTTCAACAACTGGTGCAGAAAAGTCAGCGCCGCGCCAAAACCAGCCCTTCCAAACACCCCAGCGCCCGGAGCGAACAAAAAATTGAATTCACCTAAAATTAGGTATGAACCTCGTCGACTAGGGCCAAGTGGAAATATAGCGAAATAAGCTTGCATCTAGTATTTTCCATGGGGTCTTGTCCGCTGCGGATATTGAAGCTTTTCAGGATGCTGGCTCTCCACCAGTTGTTGAGTGGGGAAGAGATAACAGTTGGTGGACGAGCTGGCGCAGAAACATAACCCCATGGCACGCCTCAGCATCCGCAGCAAAGAAAAAACTGTACCGATTTCGCGATTCCCAAGAATGGTGCTGTATATCGCTGTATATGAACAAGCCCTTACAAGCGACAGCGCCAACCGTAGTGGCGTCACCGCCTGTGGGTGTTTTCGCGTCAGTATTGATGGCACAAAGGGTCTGTTCAGAGGGCCAGATTATCTCGAAAGGATTTCTAGTCAAATCTAAGCTGTTGAGAAAATTCGAAAATTTGTACAAAGTCAGACGAGAAAATGCTCTCCAAATTTCTGAGAGTAGGGTAGTGGAGGAGAAATCACCAAAATTCAATAAAGTGTTTTGAAATTAAATACCTCCGTCCATATAGTGACAGCACTGTCAATTTCTTTGATCCAGCCGTCTACAAGATGGGAAGCTACATCACTCAGGAACTGATCACCTTTATCTGCACGCAGCTCATCCAAGAACTGCAGCACTGTCAACTCCTAAAATGGATCCATTCTGCAATATGAAAGTTGCTCACATGACGATGGTGGCTGGGAGGCGGCGTCACGTGCGCGGGAAGTCCACCAAGGTCCAATCAATTCAATAAGGAACACGACGAGCCGTTCTCAAGACGTCATACCAACAGAAGCTGCTTTGTGTGCCACACGCGATAGAGCAGTGGTTCAGACTTGGCGGGACGCGACAAGACGTAGTAACGGCGCTGTATCGCGCGACGACACGCAGTAACGCGTTGTAAGCGCGTCGACGCGCT